CAGATAATCCATCCTTTGTCACTAGGGATTGACGTCTGTCTCCAAAGAAAAGAACAACTCCATCGAATCAAAGCAAAGCAGTTGGGAATAAATTTGCCACTGCTAACAAGCTTGGCACGGTCAGAGCTTTGTGTGTGGGAACAAAGAGTTTAAGACCCTGGAACATGTTTGGATTGCAGAGAGAATTCCATTCCATCTCAGGAATGCTCTGGATCATTCGTGGTTTGTAGGTCCTGGCACTGGAGGAAGGGCAGATCCTTTCAGGGCACCTGCTCTGCTCTGGAGCTGACTGAACATGATCTGTTCTTTTCCTGAGGTGTCAGTGTCAGACAGAAGACACCAAACCCAGCACTTCGTCACAGGGAAGACAATTATTCTCACCGCTGTCCTTGACTCATTCATCCATGCAGAGCTGTAATCCAGCTGGGAGCCCCATGTGCAACAGGAGCTGGGGGAAAAAAGTTCAGGAGACAAGTTTGGCACTGGCCAGCAGGGTGAGGGGAGCAGCTCCGTGTCCTGGGGGATCTGGGGGACTGGAGACGTCTGGTCTTTGCTGTGCAGCAGCAGTGATGGACACGCTGCACTGCCTGAGCTGCTGAGATTTGTCTGGAACTGTAAACACATCTGCTCTGGCCGTGTTCAGCCTTYCCTCCCGCTGCCATTCCGTGAGTGCTCATGCCAGACAGTTCTCAGGAACCTGTCTCGTTGGGAAAGGCAGATTTATGTCTGTTTGCTCAGGTTCAGACAGCAAGAAAATTTATGCGAGYGTGCCTTGGGGTGTTTGGGAGCTGTTTCCATTCAGGGGATATGAACCACACGACTGAATTATCTGACTGGTAAAAACAAGAAGTGCAGCTCAAATTGTGAGATAATAACCAAGAAAGATCTTGTATAATAATTTTGACACTGAGGATTGTCACAGCCTGCTCCTGGCTGTTGACTGGAAAAGAGAAGGAGCTTCCCTGTAGGAGCTGTTTGTTCATACATTCAGTGCAGYTCCAGGAGTGACAGTGAAACTCGGTGTTCACTTCCCCTTCCTGAGCCCTGATGCAAGTGGCCACAAGTCTCAGGTGATTTTACCACACTCACTAAATGACGTTTTATCTTCTTTCCATTAAAGCCCCAGCCACAGCAACTGCAAAGGCAAAAAARAAAAAAMAMMAAACCAACAACTCTGCCAAACCTTTGCTTCYCTCAGCTCCTTGGTGATTTTCCATCTCTGCCAGTGATGCTTTAATKAATGAAATCTCTTGACTGGGGCAGAGTAGGGGGAGTCTCTCAGAGCCCCAGCAGAGCGTGGGGAGCAGGTCATTAATCCACAGCAAAGCAACACAGCCAGGGAGGCTAAAAATACCCAGGACACCTGATTGCTGCAGCTGATTGTAGAGAACGGGCAGGAGCACAGGGATGGGCCCTGCATGCTGAGTACTTGGGGCTGCCGCACTCACAGCCTTCTCCGTGCTGGAAAACCTTGGGAAGGGAGAGCAGGGGCAGGGAGAGCAGGGGCTGGAATTTGAAGTTCCTGCAGCAGTGTCAGCCCAGAGGCAGCACCTCTGTGAGTGGTGGGACTCCTTTGGCTGCACAAGGGATGAGCTGGGATGAGTTTGGTCCCAAAGATCCCTGGATGTCCCATGACAGGGAAGTACAACTCCAGCACCCACTGCACTGACCCAGACCCATGGCACTAAAGCCATCCCTGTCCAGGATGTTGCAGGAAAAGGGGGAAGAAATTGCACAGTTGTTTTTTTTCTTCACAAGCTACTTTCAAAGCCTCCAGTTGCATAATTTCAGGTCTGTGAGCAAAGGCTGTAATTATAGAATCCCAGAATCACCGAGTGGTTTGGGTTGGGAGGGACATTAAAGCTCATCCAGCCCTTGCTGTGGGCACGGACACCTTCCCCAGCMCAGGTTACCCAGTGATGCTGCAACTCCTCACACAAAGACCCTGACACCACCTCAGGAGAGCCAAATTCACTTAAAAAATCTCTTGGGAATAAGGACAGTTCCAAGGGTTAATGAAAGCATTCCCTGCATTCATTCCTCTCAGCAGCCTCATTTTCCCTGAATTAAGCCACTTGTATCTTTTCCATTTCTGGGAAGATACTTCCCTATCTATTTGTGAGAGTCACAATTATAAAAAATGGGCAAGAGCTGCTCTCCCCTAGGCTCTTTTTGAGACAGCTTTTTCTTGACGATCACTCCAATGAGGAAAACAAACTCTGAAGGGCAAATTCCCGCTGGTGTTTTGGCTGGCCTTGGTACCCCGTGCACATTCCTTGCTCTCTCTGCTTCCCAGGTGACAGCAGCCGCTGGCTGGGCAGGCGCTGGCTGGAGCTGGGGGTGGAATTGTACCCAAATTCATCACCTCAGGGTATTTTTGGCAGCATTCTCTCGATAACTCTTGCAGACAAGGCTCCCTCTGCGACAGCCCCTCYGGCACTCAGTGTGGGTGTCTGCTAATGCCCCCTCCCACCCTTCCCACTRTAAAAATAGCACAAGAAATTGTTCTTTTCTTAAATGTTCCCCCCAAAATGTCATTTTTGTCTGCACCACACAAGATTTTGCTGCTTTGTTGATAGGAGTTTATTGTGTTAGATTTTATCTGCCTGTAAAACACTTCCTAAGTGGTGAGTGAGTAATAAAAATGAGATTACAGGAATTGCTTGGTGGGGAACAGACCAGACCTACAATTTWGCTTGCTTGTTCCTGCGAGCTGAGGAACTTCAAACTGATCTGCAAATTGCAAAATAAACTTAGAAATCGCTTTTCTGGCAGTACAAAGCCAGTCCAGTGTGAGAATGAATGGCAGAATTAATGTCAATGTGAGGAAGTCAGAGCAAGATCAGAAGAGTTACAGATTCCTGTAGCACAGGGGAAACTCTGTAATAAAGGTGACAGCAGAAGTGTGTATTCTGAAGGTGCTGTGAGATAGCCCCTTTGAAGTCCTATTCATCTCTGATCTGGGTGGGTTTTTATGAGTTCACTCTCTTCAAATGCACTCAAAACATATTTGCTAAGCTCGACACTGTGGCCTCATTCTCTGTTATTTTCTTCTGACACCTCCCTTTGCCTCATCCCCTCAGGCTCTGTAAATGCAGATTTCAGACAGAWGAAGGACACAATCCATCTATGACTTGGGAAGAGCTCCCTGGAAGAAGTCAGCTCTCTTTTTTCCTTGGGATTCCTGCTCAAACTGATCCCTGTAGCACAACAGTTTGGGAAGAAGCTGTGAGGGTGATGGTGTCTGGCTGAGCRATGCCACTGTTCCTCCAGCTCTTCTCATCTCCACATCCTTATTTTTCTTATTTTCATTTTTTAATTTTTGCCTTCTGTTTTCTGGCTTTCCGTTGGGAAGAGGAGGAAGCAGCATTGCTATTCCTCAGGTACATTTTCTGCAGTGCTGYAAGGTCCCCTAAATAATCCCCATTCCATTTATTATTAACCTTAAAAACCATCCTCATCCTTCCGAAAACTCCAGAAGCTACGAGGAGAAAAACGACTTCGGATTACGTGGAGCACAAACACAAAGCCTTAATTAATGAGCTGCCCCCACTAATTGCGGGGGAGGAGCCTGTGCTGCTCCACGCCGGGAATCACAGGGAATTACAGCTCGTGTGTCTTCTCTTGACTTGAACTGAGGCTGTGTGGGTTTGTTCGAGTGGTAGAAATTATAGAATATGGAGTAACACCCGTGGAAGTCGTCCTTTCCCATGGCAGGGGTTGGAAYTGGAGGGGCTTTCCTGGCCCTTCCAACCCAAACCAGCCTGGKATTCTGATTTTGTTATAATTAAAACCTGTCAATTCGCAGGCTCGATACCAGTAATTAAAAACTGTAAACGTTTAGTTTTGACACAAGAGCAACAATTAAACCTGTAAATTCTTAAGCTCCTGAAGGGAATTTCTCAGCAATTCAGGATTTGGGGTGGAACAAGCCCTTGGGAAGCTGCTGCCCTTGGCGACACCAGCACTCACTGCAGCAGTGAACAGCAATTCCAGCAGTTCCCCGGGATCCAGGCTGGGCATCCACCAGAGACAGCACCGTGCTCGGAATTTAAAAAGCACGGAAAACAGGACAAACAGGTGTTACGAGCTGTGGGAAGTGTGACAAGCCCTAACGTGATAAATGTGTCTCCTACCCCTTTCTCGAGGGGGGGATGCTGTCAGCCTGCTGCCCATCGAGACGGCACCGCTGACGGCCGCACACTTTGAGGGAAAAGGTGTTTTACTCCAAAATATACCCTGAGAGCTTCGCGAACGCCGGTGCTGCGAGGGGAAAGACACGGAGAGGCAGTGGGACAGCAGCATGATGGGGCAGAGGATGGCCAAGCTTCATCTTGAGAGGATGAGGGGGCTCCCACCGCTCTCCAGGAGCATCCCGGGGGCTCCGGGCACATCCCGAGGGCTCATCCCGGGGATCCATGCATGTCCCGGGGGCTCCGAGCGCATTCCAAGGGTTCCGAGTGCATCCCAGGGGGGCTTCGGGC